TTATGCACACAGAACTGGGGTACAGGCCATAGGTGCAGGGATGGTGAGAGGATTCACCAGAGACAGAGCGGGGAGCAGAACAGGCAGATCGACGAAGTCCACTGCTGAGGGGAACAGCGGGCGGGCCAGGAGAGGTCTGCCGCGCCATGTGGTCTCCTCTGGGGCAGGCGGGGAGCAGATTCCTGTGGAAGCAGCTCCAGCCTCTTAGTGCTGCGCTTAACCCGCTGGGCCACCAGGGAGGGCCCTTTACTTGTTTTTCTTACACGTCCTGCAGTGTCAATTTCTCGTGTGTATCAGACACCAGTCTCTTGGGGCCGACTTCAGTCTGATCTGGGCTTCAGGTCTTGGTGAGAAAGGTTTATTTTGTAGCACGATTGAAAAATGATTCTGTGTTTTCATGTGGTACGTGTGTTCCGAGGTGGGTGGTGGTGCTGACCCTTCCGTGGCCAGCTTGCTGTGCCCGTGGTGCCCACCGGCGCCTCTGGGCTCTGGGCCCTGCGGGCTCATGCTCGCGGGGCATGTCCCTCCTGGGCCCTGATGCTTTTACTGTTGGAACTTAGGATGGTATGTTTTGGTTTTGTTTTTTTGGTCAGGTAGGTCAAGGCCCTTTCTGATCTTATTTTTCAAAAATGTCACAGCCTTTCTTGGCCATTTGTTCTGTCAGATTTTAGAGCCAAACGCCATCTTTCAAAAATTGTCATAGAATTTTTATTAGAATTAATTACATTTGGGGGTAAAGCGCAGTATACTACAAAGCTGGCTGCAGCCACTTTTGCGTGAGTTCCATCCCGGCCAGGGAGTGACCACATGGTGCAGACCTCTCCTGTCTCCCCGCTGTCCCTCAGCAGTGATTTGCAGTGGATCTGCCTGGTCTGCTCCCCATTCTGTCTCTGGGGAGTCCACTTCTGGCCTGTACCCCAGCTCTTGTGTGCAAAAATGAATAAATCTTAAAAAAAAAACAACAGAAGAAGAAGAAGAAGAAGAAGAAGAAAGGAGGTGCAGATGCCCTCTTGGGAGCCTCTTGCCTCCTGGCCTGCTGTACTCGACCTGCCAGTTGGTCTGGGCTCCGAGCGAGGACCCCTCCCTGCTTACCTCGGAAGGCTGCCCCCGCAGACTGGGCGCGTGCTCCCCACCGCTGCCCTGCGTCCTGTTCTCTGAGGAGGGCCACTTTCAGTGTTTGTTCTTTTACATCGTTAATAATGGTTTTAGTCTTGTTTTTCAGTCTGTGTACTTACTGTTGACTTAGGACTTTGAGCCATTGACTTTTAAGATTGAACTACAGCGCACAGAAAGGCCAGACCGGATCCGTTAAGACACAGCCGGTGCATTTGCATGATCGTGACCCCGGGCAAGACAGCACCCTGTTGCTTGAACCCTCAAGTCTCCCTCTGCCACCTCAACTCACTTCTCTGTTCTTCCTCCCTGAAGTGCCAGCCCAACTCTAACACTCGATTAGTTTTGTTATTTTGTGTGTGTCTAGGGGACACACGCAGGGTTCTTTTGTGTTTCATGCTTCCATTCCACTTCATGCTTGTACAGCCTTCCATATCTGTTAGGTTTTTGAAGTCTTCTTTTGTCACCAGCTGTCAAAAGTAGCTTGGCTCCGACTCATGGCCGTGGACGGAGCCACGCCCTCCAGAATGGCCGTCGCAGCCCCATCGCCCGGTGTGGCGAAGAGCCTTTCGGGACCTGACTAGGCTTGTGAGGATAGAAGGGGGCAGCTGCCAGCAGGCTCCGCGTTGTCCCAGCAGAGGAACCAGACCTCTGTGGCCCGCCCGCAAGTTGCCAGCCAGTGGGCGTGCCGGGGCCGACCGTACTGCACCCTGGTCTCAGACTCCTGCCGCCCACACCGAGAGGGGACACTGCTGTGGGGGGAGCCCCCTGGTGCGCTGTTTTTTTTTGCCGTGGCAGCCCCAGCTGGCTCATCTCCCATTCTTGCTGCTGTGTCACCAGAAGGGCGGGGTTGGTTGGTTTGATGTTTTTTTTTAAGATTTAATTTTTTATGCTTACAGAGTTGGGCGAGAGGTGCAGGGACGGTGAGAGGATTCACCAGAGACAGAGCGGGGAGCAGAATAGGCAGATCGACGAAGCACACTGCTGAGGGGAGCAGCGGGGAGACCGCAGGGGTCTGCTGCGCCCTCTGGGTCATTGCCCCTGCTGCAGGGGCTTAGATAGCCCCACTGTGCCACCAGGGAGGCCCTATTCTCCACTTTGCTTCTGGCACGAATGGACTCTCCCTTTCAAAACAAGTAGCAGGAACCCCTCTGGCTTTCCTTACCCTGTAAACGCCCTGGCTGCTCCCCTCAGCACTCTCTTCTCCTCCCCACCCGCCTTGGGGGTGGGCCGGCGACTTCTCCATTTGTCCTCTTTCTGGGGCACCTCAGCTAGTGATGTGGCACTGGCCTCCCTCTGGTGGCCCCAGCTCTGGGCCAAGGCTGTTGTGGTGATTGAGTCACCCCAGCTGGGAGGGGAGGGAGCTAGGCCCTTCCGCAGGCGGCAGCGCCTCAGCGCCTCAAGATAGACAAGCCTTTCAGCCTTTCGTGCTGAGGACACTTCTTCTGATAGAGACACTCTCCCACCTGCGGGCTTAGCTGGGTGCGACATAGTTTGAGCTTCAGAGTTGCTTTAGATACTGTTTGCCAGTACCTGAAAATGTGTAAGAACCGAATCAGAACAGGATCTGAAAGGAGCAGAACCGGAAGAAACAGGTGACCAGTTCAGTCCTAGGAACGGCAAAAAGCAGGTCTCGGAGACCCCAGGGGACAGGGACGGGAAAGGCGCCACAGCCTTTGGATTTGGCTGAGTGAAGGAGGAAAACGGAGTGGTGACCTACGAGCAGCAGTGGGCCTCGGGTTTCTGGAAAAGTCTATTTATTCCCAGCTACTGCTGGGCAGTCTTGAGTGCAGGGGGCTGTGTGTGTGACGCTGGAAGGAAGTTAGCTCGTCCAGCCTGGAAGTAATGTGACCGAAGACCCACCGTCGTCTGAGCAGGGAATGCCTCGCCTGAGCAGGGAATGCCTCGCCTGGCTGTGGTGGCGTGGGCCCTCTGGGCTGTGCGGTGGGCGCTTCTGGCCAACGTCCAGCACTCCTGGGAGACGTGCCTGCGGGAGCAGTCCCTCCACGGGGTTCCTAGAAGAGGAACTGGAATGCGCCCACCTTGCTGTCTTCAAGTACATGTGCTCGAGCTGTGATTCTGGCTCTTGCCTCCTGCAGGTCTGTCGGGGCCTGGCTGCAGCCGCCTCCTCTCTGCGTGTCGGGCCAGCGGGTTCGTGGGAAGTTACCCAGCAGCATGCTGGGTGAAGGCTCTCTAGGTTGTGCTTAGCCGGGTTTTTGTTGCTGTTTCAGATTTAATATGATTAGTGCAGCATTCTCAGAATGGGCCCCGGGACCTTTGGAGGTTTTCTGAGACCATTTTAGGGGGTCTGCACAGTGAAAACTATTTTTGTAATACTATTTTAAGACAATCTCTGCTTTTTCCATTCTCTCACGAATGTAAATAGACTTTTCCAGAGGCTACATGACGTGTGCTATCACAACTGGTTGAGTATAGAAGGATGTAAGAGGCTTTGAATCAAATGTTATTTATAGTCACGTAATGGACTACAGATTTTTTTCAGTTTTTTCAAAATTGTGATAAAACTACAGTTCAGGGCCCTCCCTGGTGGTAAAGCACAGCACTGGGAAGCTGTCCCAGCCCCTGCAGCGGGAGTGTGATCCCCGGCCAGGGAGCGACCCACAGGGTGCAGCAGACCCCTCCTGTTCCCCACTGCTCCCCTCAGCACTGGGTTTCAGTCGATCTGTCTTTCTGCTCCCTACTCTGTCTCTGGTGGGTCCTCTCACCCCTCGCACCTCTGGCCTATACCCCAGCTCTTGTGTGCATATATAAATAAATGAAAAATAAGTACAGTTGACCCTTGAGCCCTGGGGGTTGGGAGTACACCCTCCCGCTTCGAAATGTCACACGACGGAAGTTTCACACTACGGACAAGGGCTGCTGCCAGCCCGGTGCTTGCGTGCTTTGTGTGTCGCAGACAGTGTTCTTACTGCACAGTAAACTAGAGTGGCGAAAATGAAGGAGGCGCTTCCAGGACGCATGACGCTTGTGTGCGCGGCTGCGTCGCTCAGGCTGTCGTCTGTGCGTCTCGTCGAGATGGGTCTGGCCCAGTCTTTGGCCTGTTTCTCAGTTGGGCTGCTGTTTTGTTGAATTGTAGGAGTTCTTGTGCTCTCTTGTATTCTGGATAATTAATCCCTTATCAGATTAATGATTGCAAATCTTTGCTCCCACTCTGTGGACGCTGCTAGACATTCTGTTGATACTGTCTCTGATGCACAAAATGTTAGAAGTTTTAGTGAGGTTCAGTTTGATGTTTTCTTTGTTGTGCATGCCCTTGCAAGAAGTCACAATCACATCCTGTGCTGGTTTTTTTTGTTTTTTTAAGATTTATTTATTCATGCATACAAGACTGGGGTACAGGTCAGAGGTCGTGGGCAGTGAGAGGACTCCCCAGAGACAGAGCTGGCAGCAGAATTGGTGGATCCACTGAAACCCTCTGCTGAGGGGAACAGCAGGGGACAGGAGAGGTCTGCTGCCCCCTGTGGGTCACTCTCTGGCCTGGGTGGGGGAGTCACTTGTGCTGCCAAGGCGGGGACAGCCTCACCTTGCTGCGCTCTCACTCCGTGCACCCCCGGGGGCCCTGGCCTATGTTTTCTTTTAAGAGTTTGATAGCCATAGCTCTTAAATTTGGTTTACTTGGAACTAATTACTGCATAGGATGTTGACTGGCAGTCCAGTTTCGTCCTGTGTGTGGCGACCCGTTTATCCCAGCACTGTTAAAGGGCTCTTCAGTTCAACTCTTAGTTTTGTCATTTTTCAGTTTTCATTAGGAATATGGTAACCGTGGACAGCTAAGACCAACATTTGGAATCACCGAGAATCCTCCCGTGACGGAGGGGCCGTGGAGCTGGAGGGCTGCTGGCACAGGCGCTGCCAGCCTGCCCCTAGACGCGGTCGGGTCTCCCTGCATGGGCATATGCTGGCAGGCAGGGCTGCCTGTGTCTGTGCCCAGTGCAGAGCCAGGGAGTTTATGTCCCCTGGAGCCCCTTCCTTCTGTCCACACCTCACTGGCACCCTGTCCCCTCTAATGGGTCGAAGTCCTTTGTTCTAGATATCACTTCCACTCAAGAGATGATGAACTAGCCAGATGAGGATGCCTGCACATCAGTAAACAATAGTGAGGCTGACTTTTTTAAAGTAAGGAATGGATCTACTAGCCATGCTACGTCTTTCCTCTCTGTGTCTTTGTGGCTTTTTCTCATACGCACCCCTTTTTGAAGAAAGGCCGTCAGGTGACCATCTGTCGCCTCTACATACATCACCTAATTAACCAAGGATGCTCTGAAAATAGTCCCTTTTCCTTCTTTAACCACTTAAAGGCCTTTTCTATTTTGTAAAGAAATACTGTTTATGCCTACAAGAAGGGTACAGGCCCGAGGTGCAAGGGGTGAGAGGATTCATCGGAGACAGAGTGGGGAGCAGAACAGGCAGATGGACTGAAATACA